TTAAGATAGCAAGGGAGGCAAAGTCAAACCTCAAGGGATTCTATCAAATGTATCAAACTAAAACAAGAGAAAAGATTGGACACCTACCCTCCCCACACCTACCCTCCCTAAACTTACCCTCCCCACCCCTACCCTACGTACCCTTCCCACACCTATTCTCCCCACCCTTACCCTCCCCACACCTACCCTCCCGACATAATTTTGTGCTTGCAGTTTTCGTCATATTTTTGTCGAAGAACAAAACTCTATCAGTGTTACTTTAATATTATTTGCATAAAGGCATTGCTTAATATTTGTGACTGTACTAATGAAGTGTTGCAATCCAACGTAACATAAATTTAATTGTATTGCCTGTGCTAGGGTACAGAGTGACTGTGCCTAATGCAGGCTTAGTTCAACTGATGAATGCCTGAAATAATATTAATTTTTAATTTCAGTATTTCAGTATCACACATATAACGTTATTATACTGTTGAAGCTGTTTTAGCATCTAAGTGTAACTATATACAGTACATCGAATAACTTCACTGATTTAACTCTTCTTCTTCTTGTCTGTAATAAGAGTGGTGGAGGATCTCAATCAAAAAGGTACCGAAGGCGAGACAACATCCAAGCAGGGACAGGTAGAAGGCTCCCTGCAGGTGGTCCAATCCCAGCACCACTTGACCTCTCTCCTGCAGAAAGATGAGGCAAATATAATGCGTCCCCTGTATTGAGATCTTTTATATCATGAACATCATGTCCCAGCAATAAGATCTGATGTATTGCTGCGACCATAATAGCCTGATGTAGACTCATAAGAACATAAGAAAATAAGGAGTCTGCAATAGGCCGGTTGGCCTGTGCATGGCAGCTCCTGTCGAGAGTTACTACCACTCTCTATCATCCATAAATCTATCTAGCCACCTTTTGAAACTTTCCAGAGTTCCAGCACTTACTACAAAGTTGCTAAGCTTGTTCCACTCGTCCACCACCCTATTTGTGAACCAGTTCCTTCCTATCTCCCTCCTAAACCTAAACTTATCCAACTTAAATCCGTTGCTCCGAGTCCTATCCTGCTCGGATATTATAAGAACTTTATCCTTTTCTTCTTTATTGATTCCTTTCACCCACTTAAATACTTCTATCATATCTCACCGCACTCTTCGTCTTTCTAGGGAATGCAAGTTAACTTTCTTTAACCTATCCTGATATGGAAGGTTTCTAAGTCCCGGAATCGTTTTCGTCATTCTTCGCTGCACCGACTCTAGTGAATTTATATCCATTCTATAATAGGGGCACCAGAACTGAACCACATAATCGAGGTTCGGCCTGACTAACGCAAGATATAGTTGTAATAAGACCTCTGCACTCTTATTACTTACACTTCTCGATATAAAACCCAATACTCTGTTTGCCTTATTTCGATCATTAACGCACTGTTTTCTAGGCCGTAGGTCCGGGCTTACAAGTACCCCTAGGTCTCTTTCACAAGTCGACTTCTCTAGGTTGATGTTGTTAAGGCAGTATACATTGTCAGTATTTGTTCTTCCAATATTAAGTACGCTGCACTTGCTGGTGTTGAATTTCATTTGCCATTTTTCAGACCACCCCTGAAGTTTATTTAGATCCTCCTGTAATTCATTTGCATCCTACCCTGAATTAATCTGCCGCCCTATTTTGGTGTCATCCGCAAACTTGCTTATGTCACTGCTGATCCCAGTATCTAGATCGTTTATGTAGATTATGAACAAGAGTGGGCCTAGTACTGATCCCTGGGGAACCCCACTGGTTACACGGCCCCATTCAGATTTAACACCATGTACGCTGACCCTCTGCGTTCTATCGGTGAGCCATGATTTTATTCAATTTAAAACTTTCCCCTCGATACCATGAGCCTTAATTTTTCTCAGAAGCCTCTGATGCGGTACTGTCAAATGCTTTGCTAAAGTCTAAGTAAATAACATCGTAATTTTCGTCATTATCTACTACCTCGAAGACTTTTCTAAATAACGTCAGCAGATTTGTTAGACAAGATTTTCCCCTTGTAAACCCATGTTGAGAGTCGTAGATTAATTTGCTTTTTTCTCGATGCGATCGGATGCTATCTGCTATAATTGATTCAAGAAATTTCCCCACTACTGACGTCAAACTGATCGGCCGGAAATTTGACGCTGATGCTCTGTCTCCCTTTTTGAATATGGGTACTACATTTGGCTGTTTCCACAAGTCTGGCACAACTCCGGTGTCTAATGATTATGTAAATAAATTTACGAGGGGTCTGCTAATCTGTGCCCTACACTCTTTCAAGATCGAGGGAAAATTTCGTCCGGCCCTGGGGATTTTGTCTTCTTTAGTTTATTTATCCTCTTAAGAACATCCTCTTTTCTGATAGTGATATTCTTTAATTTCTCTTCTTCCTTTCCCCTAAATATCAGTTCCACCTCTGGAATTTCCTCGCGAATTTCTTCTGTGAAAACTGATAAGAAGACGCTGTCATGATTTAGTATAGTCATACACCATGACACTGTTGGAAGAGTTGATCAGTTGTAATAATCAAGACATAGTTAACAGTAAACTTAAGTATACTGAGCAAAACAAGTTACTTATGGAGCTGCGTTATAACACTCCTTACCTCAGTGTACAGTAGCCGCTCCTTCCCTTCTTCTTCTGTGTTGTTCCGTTTAACCTCTTTTTTTATGAGTTCATCCAACCATAGGCTCAGGAGCCCAGCCTCGACGAGTCGTTGTTTCATTTTGCTGATCTGCTTCGTAAATGGTGCACCTTGTCTGTGTGATATATATATATATATATATATATATATATATATATATCTCTCTCTCTCTCTCTCTTCTCTCTCACCATACATATGACTGTGTAAACTTGACATTTACATGTTGCTCAGGTCCTTGGTATATTTAAGCCTCTCTCTGTCAGTAACGATAGGTTGCACTCTGAAGATGTCTTGAATGAAGACAAACGAAAAGCTAAGGTACTCCGTTGTTTCCATTTTCCCGTGTGATTTTATCAAGATATATATATATATATATATATATATATATATATATATATATATATATATATATATATATATATATATATATATATGTGTGTGTGTTTCATATTATATGCACAATGAAAACAAGGATAAAGATAAATCTTGATAAAATCACGCAGGGGAAAAGAAGAGAAATAACAGGCTAACTGGTTGTCTTCGAACATCTTCGGCCAACAACTAGGCCGACTGCAATGGCTGTAATGTCGAGTCATATGATGTCGTCACTGAAATACTTACGCAACACCAACACACACGTAGAGGAGCTTAAGAGAAGGGGGCGACGTGACTAGTCAGGTCAGGTCACAAATAAGGGACCCACTAAATAACTATCCTCCATCTAGATCAAAGGTTTTCAAAGCATTTTTAACCTTGGGCCACTGATAAATAAATTTATGTAACATATTATCAGTTTTGAACTGACCATCACTAAGGTTTATTGATTTTAATTGCTTAATCAAACTAGCTTCAACCAGAAGTCTTTCTGTGACACAAGATGATTTGAATACTTCTAAGCTTTTTTCCCAAGCAATGGGATGATTATTATTCCTAACATGAACGAACAAGGCACTGCTTTCAGATGCTGTTCTGATATTGTACTTATGTTGTTTGATTCTGAGCTGCAGTGTTTTTCCTGTTTGTCCTACATAATTACAACTACATTTGCTACATGGAATACAATAAACACTTCCATTTGCATTCAAACTTGGGCTATTTTTTATTAACACATTGGTAATGGTTGAGTCATACTTGAAAACAACATTATTATTTAGCAGTTTAAGCGACCGAACTAACGGGACAAATTCATTGCGATAGGGCAGAGTCAAAATATTCTTAAGTGTAGGAACTTGTCTGGTTTGAGAGGAATGAAAGGATTTTTTAGCCCTTTTAAAACAACGATCAACAAACACAGAAGGGTACCCGAGTTTCTGTGCAATAGAACGAATGTGTTTCAATTCATCATCAATAAATTCAGCGTCACAAATACGCAGACATCTTAAGAACATAGCAGAAAAAACTGACATTTTGGTAGACTCCAGGTGATT